CCTCAGCCCATCTTCTACTGTACATCACTCAAATCCGCTCTGTTCTTGAATACTGCAGTCACGCGTGGAGTGGGGCTTCTTCTTTACTTTCGCTACTCGGTCGTGATCATTATCCTCCCCTAACCTCCAAATTGCAGTGACTAGCCCATCGTATGGCAGTTGCTTCACTGTCCCTTCTCTACTGTTACTACTTTAGTTTCTTATTCTTCGGAGCTTGCCTCGGCAGTGCCTGTTTCTGTAACTTTTGACCGCCCATCCAATACGCAGACATCCTCATCAGGTTTCTTTTTTATTTCACATACGTCTGAGTCCCAAATGTGCCAGACAAATTGCAATACAATGATCTGTATAAAAACGAAAAAGTTCGACGATTTCTGTCACGACGCCGTACTTTTCTGCTTTAATTTTTTTTTCAACGAACTGCCAGGTGGAAGACATTCCAACTTTGTCTTTCCCCAACTTACCACCTTACACTCCTTAAACGCAGGAGCGATTAACTAAATCTTAGATGAATGTTATCCGCACTCTCCCTTGACTACGGGGATTTCCCCTTTTACTGTAACTCATAGGAGCTATACTCTATGCCATCCCAGAATAATCCGCTTAGTGCACTTCATGCAGTCCATAAATCGCCCATTCCCCGTTGTGAATGTGAAGAAGACGACCTGATTAGGAATTAACTGGTTTAATGCAAAAGGAGTCAAGGACATGTAGTAGGAGTGCGCGGGATGAGAAAAATTGCAGAGTGGACGGAAATACCAAAGGGAGAAGGAAATTCCATAGTTTTTACATTCCGACACCTGGGGACAGAAATCTGATAAGATTAATTGTCCTAGTTGGGTTGAACAACAACCAAAATTTTGCAAAATATGAAGGAAACGTTTGAGTAGCGATTCCAAGCGACGGCTATCCTAGACCATTCCTTGATGATCATCAAGACGTGTTCATCGAAGTACAACCCCGTCATTAACAAAATCAAATAAAACCCAAAATATGCTAATGTGCGGTTGCCAGCAGTAAGAGAAGAAACTGTCCATCCAAAATCCGACTCCAAAAGAAAAATAATCCTATAGCCTTTAGTGAATTCGTCTGCATTTCATATACAAATGATATTCATAAACTCATGCTTTCCAGAAACTAACAAGTACTGTGTCTCTAGACATCCACGAACAAGAATGTACAGTAGAGCTGGTTGTTGGTACTAATGGAGATTACATCGATCCTCGGAGTTTTACCGTTGTACCTCGGGTTGGGTAACCACCTGCGGTTAACTTTCAGCGCCATTTACATTAGAGCGAGACAAGACTGTCTTGTATCTCAATTCCTTTTCCACTTAGCCACACAGAATGCTTTCTTCGGTCCAGCAGTCGATAGAGTCAAGTCCACGCAGGGAACAGTTCTTGACTTACTACCTTGTTCAGCGACAACGCGCAAGCAGCAGCAAGCACCGTATTTGACGCACTGCTCGTGTATGATGGATGAATGGGTGAACACTAACTAATATCGCCGTATGTTTGGTGCTCATTGTCCTTCCGTGGCAGGGAAAATTGACTCCAACATGTTTTGTTTGCCTGCTCAGCTTTTGCCTATTCGAGTTCTCTACTTACGCGTTCTGGAGGACTGGAAGAAGTGAAGCAGCACAGACCATGACGTGGTGTTGCGGTATGAAGAATTTAGCTTCGCTTGATTTGGCAAGTGATGAGGATTATTGTTGGTTAGAAGTTGCAATAAGAATCAGGTTAGAAAACGGTCAGGAATACTCAGCTTGTTTTTACAACCATTAACCATGCACTTCCGTGCGCCGGTTTTGGTGCCACATTTGAATAAAAGAACAGAAAGAAGATTGGGATGTTGAAAGCAAATTCAAGCGGAAGATGGAGAATTCATATAGAATAGTGATAGGGCAATAATGAGTGGATGCACTGTTTGCGGCACTCAGCCATATTACTCAGTGTCTCTAACCATTGGTGACCGTCATCCCGAGGTCCTCAGCCAGGGAGCCTAACGGGGCCTATGTGACCTAGTCTCCTGGTTAGGGTTTTCATACCCTCATGCCAGGTTTTGGTTTGACCACCCTTCAACTTTTTCCATCCGCTACCAGCTTTGGCAAACATCGCTCGCCGCGGCAAGCAACCTGGTGACATGCGTAGCACATGTCCCAGCCAACGTAACCTATGCAGGTCGATCACTTGCTCCAATGAACGACCGCGAATGCCTAAAACTCTACGCTTAACCTCAGCATTGCTCGTCTGATTACCCCACCAAACTCGTGCAATGCGACGTAGACAGCTGTGTTCAAACACCGATGATCTGTTTTTATCCTGTTCCCGTAAAGGCCAATTCTCTGCAACGTAGAGCAGGACTGGCCGAACAGCTGCAGCATTCACTCGACCCTTCACAGACAGCCGGATGTCACGACGGCGCCGCAAGTGTCTAAAGCTGGCAAATACCAACCGAGCCTTTTGTTTACGCGCCGACAGTTCATCTGCGATGCGTCCACCAGGTGAGATATAGCTGCCCAGATAGCAAAATTTGTCTACTTCCTCCACTACTTCCCCAGTTAGGGTGAGACTGGGTGCTGGACCAACCCAATCTTGTAGTAGCATTTTACACTGAAGGTGCCAAACGCATACCGAACTTGGACACACTAGCACTCAAACTATCCAGAAAGGTTTGTAACTTACTTGGATCTTCACTTAGTAGCACAATGTCGTCTGCATACTCTAGACCAGTCTGCCACCCGGAAGTAAATCGATATCGCTACCCTCGCACGAGGATAGGGCTGTTTCAAGAATTGAATCTATCAGGAATGCTACCACTGAACAACAGGTCTTCGTGACGGGGTCCGTCCCGTCTGCTGTTCATCACACACTGGTGTAATAAAAAAATGGAATCCGCTGCCTCATGGAGATAAGAGCATAGAAAAAAGATCAAGGGAAGAAACATCAAAGCTGTACGAGATAAACGGAAAACATCACTGTTCTTTGCAAGCTGCCTTTAATTATACTCCCCAGTTGCACTCTGCCCCTCCCCCCCCCCGGGCACTTTTCATTTTCACTCGTCGAGTAGATACCGCCCTTATTTGGTGCCGTCTGGTTTAATAACACGTCCACACTGGCGTGGCTTGCCACTCCAAATCCCGGAGCTAAGGGTGCACGTTCCCATGAGTAGAGAGTGGATCTTCGTAATTATGAGGTATCATGAGAAAGAAGTTAGAGAAAGTGGATTGAACGAAGGTGCACTGACTGCTGGATTAAGCAGCCAACTTTTCCTACCTACATCTTCCGGACCTGGCTTTCGAACAACTAAGATTTTGGAAGACGGCCAAGATAAAAACTGTTTACCGTTGTTTTACGATGCGTGGAGCCTTATTCAAAAAGGAAGTGGCGATGGACAATTCCGACTGGTCCTACGGGCCCACAACCGAAACTCGGGAACCCTGTTGTGAGGATAACACGGGTCACCTATGTACGCCTGGATCAGAGTGAATTCAGAACTTGAGAAACAGTCAACGAAGAACGATTACAGGAATTGGTCCTCGTGATGGCACGTGACCTTGTCTTATGATTCAACACCACACCTAACACAGAACTTCGTCCCTTGGATCTAGTTGCCAGTTCATATCTCGGAACAGTGACTGCGGGGTCTACTCATCATTACAAGTGTGATAAAAAAATATTGGGGGATCACTTTCTGAACTGTAGAAACGTGCAACCTGTCCGTCTCACCTTGGAAACATTAGTAGATAGATCATAAACGGCAAGCATAGTACTGCCTTGGCTATCTCCTGACAAGCTTCTAAATTTTACACCTCGTAAGGTGTAGACAGAAAATAACGATTAATGACTACGACCGGCAGCACCGCCCATAGAACCCGCAATATAGTGTTATGCATTGTGAGTGTTGCTCACCCCACACCGTACCTCGACCTTTCACAGGGCGGTCAAGCGCATGGCGCTTTGTGACGCAGGATGCTACTGTCTCGGGAGAGCAGCCCAGCTGATGGTAGAACCAGACATGGTTTATCAAGCCTCTTCAAGATGGGCTTGCGATCTCTAGGTCTGAGAAATGCGATTATTTATGAACATACCAGTTTGATCCGTGTGCTACTTTATCCCAATACGATTCCATCAGTAAAGGTAGAACTGGAAGATTATCTATCTCACCTACTGAAAACGAACCACTGACGTCATTAACTTGAAAGCTTGATTCACGTTAACAAGCGTCGCCTCCCTGATACCAACAGCTGTCCAACGGAATAATACGAAACAACGGCGGGAAGTCTGCGGGAATGGTGAGTTATTTACTTGGACGCTATAAGACACTCATCATCGACCACTCAAGACGAAGTGGCAGTGAACTGAAGCGGTTACTAACAAACCCGACGATAACAACCATGCGTACTTTTAGTGAAGTGGTTACAGAATAAAATACAGTATCTAGTTCCATCATCCACAGCTGTATGGTACAAAAAGGCGGTTGTGGAATCCAAAAACCAGCAATAGGTGTTCGAAGTACTCGCAAGTAAAGCTTAACTTGTGAACAGATGGCGTTCGGATGGACGTAATCACTGTTCAGCTGGTCTCTGATAACCTATGAGATGAAATCAGTAATGTAAACCTGAAGTCCGATATCACACCTTAAAGAAAACGATGCAAAGTCACAATGGCGAACCCTGATCCTTTATGTGATGAACGAAGTATGGGTGTGAAATGACGACCAACAGAAAAACGCTACAGAATTAATACGCCTGAATAGCCTTAATCTAGAAAGATCCACCTCATTCTATTTCAGAAAACCAAAAGCACTCACGTTGCTTTGACAGAAATCCATTTCTTGAAAAGACATATAAAGTAAAAACGGCATTTTTCACTGATCAACAAGACCCAGGGAGCAAGCCGGCACTTGGTGGGGAATAGGTATATTATAATCAATTGAGGCGGATTTACAAAGGTTCCTCATTAGCTTTCTAAATAAATCAATGTATTTGCTTAACAGAGTCACGTACTTGACTCGGATGAGTGCTTCAGCTTCTGTTCCCGCTGTTTTTCCTCGTTGTTCACCTGCTTATCAACGTGGACACGATTTGTCCGGTTATCACCTTTTTTGTGATGATCCTCCGCCTCCTTTTTAGTTCGGTATCTTCCTCCTTTAAATCCATCGATTTTATCATCCTCGTAATTGTAATGTTCATACTCATCCACCGATTCGTTTATTGACTTCTCGGCCATGGGTACGGCGTGCAAGCGGTGATAGGTGAGAATGAGGATGACCCTGTACCGCGCTAAATTTGAATACACAATTCCAAACTTTTAAACCAAAATCAAAACGGATACAATCCTTGAAAACAAAGAAACACTGGAAGAAGCTTTTTCAGATTCTTATCAATATCACCGATGCTAAATGTTCATGTAAAGGAGTCTAAAGCAACAGTAGTCCAAAGAAGGTGTCCAATTAACGGAACAAATGAGTTAATTCCCGAAAGAGAAATCTATTTTGAGTCGGCAGCGACCTTTCAAAATTATTTCAAGTGAAAGATCGTGGAATAATTTAGCTCATGACAGGACAGCACAGTTAGCAGGACTTCCGGCTAATCCAGAAGCAGTCCATTTTCTTCATGGGGCTTGTCGGGCTTGGGAACATGCCGTTCAGAAGGACATGATAGTTCAAAATACTCGTTGCTCGAGACAGTGTGATCAGGTCAGGTCATATCGGGTCCAAAGACGTGCGGCTGAGGTCATAGTATTTGCAGGCACCGTCCAGTTTCTTGTGTAGTGGTTCTTCAACCGACAATTTCGTAACGACAGTTTTCTATTCTTCTCTCATGTTTTTCTCAAAGTTACCTTGGTGGATCAATTCAAGTTGGACGTGATCATGAAAACGCGGACCAGCAGCACCTTCACCCGACGCCGGTGTGACTAACAGCAAGACAGGTCTAATTTCCAACCAGTTCTGTGTGATTAAGGACCATCTGCTCAGGTCAGGTCGTTTCGTAGGAATTAGCGGCA